AACAGCCCTTGCATCTAATGTTGATTTTGACTGGTTAAAAATAAAAACAATTCAAATGAAAAATCCATGATGTGAATTGAATGAGTAACCTCACATATCATGTTTAATGTCACTGACTGTTTTTTCCACAAGTTTATTCATTCTCAATAGGGTGTTCAGAGCTGGTTTTCTGCATGCTGCATTTGGTCATTCTCTTTGTCAAATTTGTTTATTACGTGACATTGTTTCACTTTATCATATCCTGATGTCTGCTTATTCTTTCTGAATTTCTGGCTTTTAGATGGTTTGTAAGTTAGATGAAAACACTCAGGTCTTCTATTTTCAACCCCAAACCATGTTTTAACTACAATGTCACACCTACCATCTATGTGTTTGTGAGGGGCGGTGGGGTAGCCTAGTGGTTAAAGCATCTGCTCCTCATGCTAAAGACCCAGATTCAGTTCCCCACATGGGAACAATGTGTGAACCCCATTTCTGGTGTCACCATCCATGATGTTACTGGAATATTGCTAAAGCTCGTAAAACCATACTCATTCACTATGTGTTTGTGGAAACTTAATTTAATAATTCTCATATTGGCTTGTTTTTCACTAAACTGCCATAGTATTTGATGCAAAAATATTGCCTTGGAATGTAAGCTCACCTGGCTTTGTAGTCAACAGTCATGTACACCTGGTAATCTTAATCCCTGCACATAATACAATGCCTAGCAAAAACAAATTAAAACCAGGGTACGAATTCGGCTTTTTTCAGTACCTGCACCAAGTGCAGTTGAGTGTTTATACCAGACTGCACCAAAGAGACTCAGACTGCACCCTCAGTGGTCACGTTAATGTGTTCCATTTTATGAGTTTGTATAATTAAAAATAACTATTAAATACACTTGTTTAGTTTTTATTCATGTGAAAGAAAGCTGAACAACTTAGCATGAAAAGGAGAAAATGTTTTGATGCACTAATATCATAGTCTATTAAGTGCATCATGGTATCATTGTTAAGTCTTGAAACTCTTAGTATGGTAAGTCACATTATTGCTACATACTAGCATTAGTAGATTTACTCACTCAGTCATCCAAGTCATCATTACTATCATCACTTGACCATGCTGCAGAGTCACTGTCACTAGGTAGGGGTTTTCTCTTCCCATACGGCTGGCTTGGGAACCTTTTACTTAACCAAAGACTTACTGGTCCATCAGCATTAAAGTCTTTCAGAGCTGGACCATTTAGCTTGAGTGACATCAAGTCTGTCAGACTGTCTGACGTTAGTTTAGATCTCCAGTCTGTTTTAACACGCTTCATAAGTGAGAATCCCCTCTCACAGATGGCACTATTGACTGGGAGGGAAATGATGATCGTCACAAGTGCCATAAGATCACCATATTCTTGCAACAGGGCCATCTTTTGCCATACAGCAAGGAACGATAATGTTGCCTCAACACTTTTCATCTTCAGAATTTTCTTTTTAGCACCAGCCCACTGTAGGAGAACATTTTCCAAACAATATATCCCTTTCTTGTCAGGGGGGGGGCTTGAAAATGTGTGAATATTTCTGTTACTTCACTGTCACCATATGTCCTGAGAACATCTGGGTCACTTGGCCATTCATCTGGATTCAGTACAGATGATCCTGCTGAGACTTTAATGTCAAAACGCTTGGCAAGGTTTTCTTGCATATTTGCCACAACTTTCTCACCTTCAGAAACAGCGTTAGCAATTTCTGTTTCAGGTTTTTCCTTAATCTTCGATCGGCTTGGCGCAGGTTTCGCACTTCTATCACTTGCTTGATCAACATCACTTTCTTTTCTGTCTGAAAGTGTCTTTTTAGCGAAGAAATTGAAGTTTTTTTATTGCACCGCCGGTCCAGACATTTTCGCTGTTGAACACACTTGTGACAGCTGACATGAGGCCGGAAGACTTCGTTACTAAGCGATAACGTTTTTTTCCGAGGTTAAAAACGAGTGCAAACGAGTCCTCATGGAAATATCCGAGGACAATAAAGTTACGACCTTTGAATCTTTTCATTGGCTGTTAGCAACAATGATGTAGGAAAAACTCGAGAAAGCGTTTGTGATTGGGTCATTGTCATGATGAATATGCAAATGAAGCCCCTATTTAGGTCAAGTCTATTTTTGTCAACGCGGAAGTAAACCACTGTTTACGTATCGCTAACGTATCAAACGTTTTAGTAATCGATTTTTTAAATTATTCTTCGAATGTAATACGATTTTTTTCAAGCTGCGCCTGGTGCAGTCCGGTAAGAGATATAGGCTGCACAAGACAATTTTCACCTGCACTGGTGCAGAATTTATATATCGATTTCGAACCCTGAAAACTGAAAAGGTACATAAACTTGTCTAGAGATGTTTAACTGCAAATTTGACATCTTCACTGACAAAGTTGTTTTCTCCTATTGTTCATGCGAAGCGAAACAATGTTATTTTTTTACCACCAGTTAAAACGTTCATCAAAAGTGTAACCTGTAGATAATCTGGCCTCCTTCTACAGAGTGCTTTGTTTGGTCCTCGTAAGTCGGCTTATCTACGGTAATATAAGGTAACTAAAGGTGTTTTCAGTAATCATACTGAATGTGTTTCTTCATAAAGACAGAGGACTCAAAATTATCACTACATTATAATAACTTAAAGAATAATGTCTTCAAAAGGAGAAATATACATGCAAAAGTTCAGACTACTATGATTCAATACAGAAGAAAAGAAATTTTCTTTGTACACATTATCGTCTCTCTGTGCTTGTTCCCATGTTTCTCAACTCACCCTTAGATTCATTTTAAATATAGATTCATTACTATGTTTCTGATCAACATACCTACTACTGCTTCGCCAAAAACTACAACTGATAGAACTGACGATAATGCCATTCTACGAATAATCATCATCCGTTCCCATTCATATTCCTATCCTTTATAACGTTAAGGGATATGATTTGTCATCCTTCCATGACCATGATACCAATAAAAGAGCAGTGAGTCTTGCAAAGATTTTTTGGGATAACTGTAATAGTTCTGCAGAAATGCAACAAAAAGTTTTCAAATTTGTTTATGTGGAGGTCACAATTGCAAGATCATATGTACCGTACGTCTCAGTATCAACCAAAGTAGGACTTTCAGATACAATTGCATAAGACCCTGGAACATTATAGATGTGCTACCAGTACAGCTGTTACAGTGGTAAATACAAGAAGACAAAGTCATCAATATCCCCCGCAATGGCAAAATACTCTTCATGATCATGTCTACGAGTTATGATTATGTCAAATATTTAGGTGTGTATATAGAAAAGTGGAAGGAGAGTATTGAAAGGTTTTTAAAGTTCAGCTCCGTAAAAGAGCACTATCACTAATTTCAGGCTAAGTCAAACTTGTTGCCACGGAAAAGCCAAAAATATTTTATTCAGAATTCCAAAACTACCAAAAGGCACCAGTACACCACCAGATCTATCTATGTGCCAAGTTTGGTGAAGAAATAGTGAACGGTTTTAGAGTTCTGCTCCGGAAAAGAGCACTACCACCAATTTCAGGCTAAGTCAAACTTGTTGCCACGGAAAAGCCAAAAATATTTTATTCAGAATTCCAAAACTACCAAAAGGCACCAGTACACCACCAGATCTATCTATGTGCCAAGTTTGGTGAAGAAATAGTGAACGGTTTTTAGAGTTCTGCTCCGGAAAAGAGCACTACCACCAATTTCAGGCTAAGTCAAACTTGTTGCCACGGAAAAGCCAAAAATATTTTATTCAGAATTCCAAAACTACCAAAAGGCACCAGTACACCACCAGATCTATCTATGTGCCAAGTTTGGTGAAGAAATAGTGAACGGTTTTAGAGTTCAGCTCTGGAAAAGGGCACTACCACCAATTTCAGGCTCAGTCAAACTTGTTGCCACGGAAACGCCAAAAATATTTTATTCAGAATTCAAAACTACCAAAAGGCACCAGTACACCACCAGATCTATCTATGTACCAAGTTTGGTGAAGAAATAGTGAACTGTTTTAGAGTTCTGCTCCGGAAAAGACAAATGTGCACAGAAGGACGGACGCGTTGCGGGGGATAATAAGGGGAACTCTGAGCTCACTTATGGTGTCATACCTGTAGAGGTCGACCTGTTAGAGAGTTACTCACCTTCAAGCACACAATATATTAAGTTTCAAGTATATAGTCCTAGGCCAAATATTAGAAACGTCCCTATCTTTTATAATCTCTCAGCAGCAGAAAGAGTGATATCCAGTAATTAGTATGACACATTCCACTCCAAAAATCCTTGTTGATATGGAACTAGCCACAGAATGTATCAGGTTACTAAAAACAAACAAGGTTTACTAAACTGCTGAAATGGTGTCCACATCAGGGATTTACCTGAAGTCTTGTATTTGAGGGTCCCTTGGACTCATACCCTTAATTTTCAGGGGTTCTGGACAACAAAATGGGGGTCCTAGACACTTAAATATTATTACTATTACTGTTATTTGTATTGTGTAACATGATCATGGCATTGTTACTGTAATTAAATAGCAAATGATACTATAACCAAGCTAGTAGCAAACTCAGCGATAACCTTTTTTTCACTTGATTGGAATTTCAACAAAAAGTATTTGGACTTTTTCAACGTCCATGTGGATGCGCTAATAAATTTTGTTGAGTGCTTTGTCAAATTTTATGCATATAGGATGCAGGAATTCGTGTTCTGCAAATGCCTGCCACATATTCATACACCAATTGCATCAGCGTTAACACATGGTCTAATGGACGGTGACAAGCAAATAATAAGAAAATCACAGAGACACAAAGAAAGCAGGGCATACTTTAAAAAAATGAAAACAAGAACAAACTTTTTTCTTAATGAAATATGAGTATAGCCACGGTGGTAATGCCAGAGCCTCAAGCATTCTAGACTTCAGTCGACCTCTTACACTTCCATATATAAGGAAAAGTGAGTAAAAAGGACAATGTTTGTAACAACATACTGATGACTGTAGAAATTTACCTTGAAGCCCATGATGCTCAGTGGAAGCTCCAGTGCTTGATGCTCCCCCTTCAGCGCCTGCTGGTCTGTCTTTATCATCAGCAGCTCTTGTGATAACTGAACGCTGCACAGGGTGTGCACTCCCAGGATAGATGTTTTGTGAATGGGACATCCTTAACTGAAGCAACAAAAGCTGTTGCTGAAACAACAACAATCTGGTCTCCTCTGCATCAAACTAATAATGTAATTAATATCTTCTTCAAAGTAAGTATTTGTGTTAAGTAATCCATGGAACGTGCTCCCATGTACCACATATCTCCCCGGCCCCCACATATTTGAAAGAACAAATCATCTGACAGTTACTTAAAGTCCAGCTTGACTTTTTTTTAAAGTAAGTCCAAATCGTTTCCATGGAAATCATGAGAAAAAAAAATGACAAAAATTTGTAAATAGCAAAAGGCACCACTTTAGCTTATGTTTGATATATATCTACCAAGTCCTGAAAAAAGATATAAAACTGTTTTCGAGCTCTGCTCCGGAAACATAGGTCACCACTCCCTTTTGAGATTAAGTTCAACTTGTTTCCATGGAAATCAAGAAAATGAAAAATGACAAAAATCTGCAAACAACAAAAGGCACCACTTTAGGTTCTGTTTGATATACCTACCAAGTTTTGTTGAAAAACATTGAACGGTTTTTGAGTTGTGCTCTGGAAACAAAACCAATCCCTCCTTTTTTAGACTAAGTCCGAAACGTTGCCATGGAAACCAAGAAAAATAAAAATGCCAAAAATCTGTAAATAGCAAAGGGGAAATCACTTTACGTTCTGTTTGATATATCTACCAAGTTCTGTTGAAATATATTGAAGGGTTTTGCAGTTATGCTCCGGAAACAAAATGATTACAGACAGATGAGGCGTCGACTATAATCCCCCCCCCCCACACCCCCCCCCCGCATTACATGCAGGGGGGATAAAAATATGCAAATAGCAAAAGGCACCACTTTGGGATCTGCCTCACATATCTGCCAAGTTTTGCTGAACGATACTATGAAGTTTTCCAGTTGTGCTCCAGAAACGAAACCCACCCCTCCCTTTTGGGACTAAGTCCGAATCGTTTCCATGAAAACAAAAAAAAGTATAAATCACAAAAATCTGTAAATAGCAAAAGGCACCACTTAAGGATCTGTCTCATATATCTGCCAAGTTTTGCTGAAAGTTTTCCAGTTGTGCTCTGGAAACGAAACCCACCCATCCATTTTGAGACTAAGTCCGAATCGTTTCCATGGAAACCGAGAAAATAATAAATTGCACTTTTAGTGGTAAAGTCATCTTGCCGTGTTGCCTTCGACTAGGGCCATTGAGTTCTTGAAATTTCACAGGCATATTTCAGTTTTGTCTAACTTGTGAATGACCTTTACACTAACGCTTAGTTCCTGAATATATATAATTCTGATAGGAACAAATAAACCCATTTAAATTGAAATGGAGCCCCACTGATTTGGGAGATTCCTGGGAAAACCTAGACTTGCTTCATTTAGGACTTAAGCATTGCAGCGAGGGCTAGGCATTAGAGAAAATAATGTGGTTCAGGGACTGTGAGACAGACTAAAAAGGCCCTCAAAAATTGGCTGTATAAGCATGATGAGAGTTTGAGTGATACCAAATTTTAGTCACTGAGGTGAAACGCAAGACATCTTGGATACATAGGTGTCATGAGAAACCTTTTCTGTTTTCATCCTTGCAGTATTTCAGCATAATGAAGACTGGTTTTGCATAGTACCCGGTACAAATTATCAGGAATTAAATGCAAGGACTTTTTTGGACCATTCAAGGCACAAAAAAATAATTTAAGGCCCTAGATAAACATATACAACATAAGCAGTTGAACAAACATTTGCTTGGTCAATTACACATGGGACTGATCATGACCATCAAAGGGAAATAACTCTTGTCTACATCCCTGTGATGGGAAAAGTTTGCTTCACAATGGAGATTAATTAATACACATTTTCATTGCATGGAACTTCTAATGTTTCACTTTTCTCTATTACAGTAAAGTCATAACTTGAAAAGTTAAATATATATTATTGCCTTTTGGGCAAACTACCTGCAAATAAGGCCTTTTCAAGGCTTAAATGAATTTACGGAATTTTTAAGGGTAAAACATTCAAATTTCAGGTTTTTCAAGCCTGTGCATACCCTGTGCAAGATGTAAAATTTGTAATTAACTTAATATAAGCATTACAAGAAAAAGACACTACTTTCATATCGACACTGATTTATTTAAGCAATGATAATTCCATTACACAGTATATAAGTGCTTCTGAATTTGATAATTTATACTGAATACTCAAACAGTATGTTATGGGAGAAGAGCACAATTATGGTACGATAGCTTTACTAAACATTATCAACCAATTTTTAATTTTCACTAGTTAAAATTTGCAAATGTATTTGACCAGTAGTTTAAATACTGTGCAAGTATTAAACTTACACCGAAAAACGCAAATTGCAAAATATGAGCTAACAGTGATCGAATTAATGCTTTCTACAATATCCTAGCTGCATGACTAAAATTATTCAAGTAATACACACCAGGGGCCGTATTTATCAAACAACTTAAGTCATTAAAAAAACTTAAGTCAGTTAAAAAACTTAGTTTTCACATTTTTTCGACTTAAGTTTTGGGGTAAAACTTAAGTCATATTTATCAACAGACTTAGACTTAAGTTTTGTCATTTTTTGACTTAACTATTAAGACTCATCTTGGTAGGCTTAAATCAACTCTTTTTGACTTAAGTCATGTGAAACAAAATGGCTGCCACACTTATTCCCAGAGTATTTAATGAAAGAAGAGAAGTTCTGCATACATTAGATGATAATGAGCTGTTACAAAGGTACAGATTTGACAGAAACAGTATTGTTTATATCTGTGATTTACTAGAACACAATCTAAGTCCCGTAACGATCGGAGTTGTGCAGTGTCCCATGTTACCAAAGTGCTTTCGTCACTTTCGTTATCTTGCCACTGGCAAATTTCAGATGTGCAATGGCGATGACCATGGACTGAGCCAACCCACCATCTCAAGAGTCATCGAACAAACGCTTCAATCACTCACAAGTCAGCGTATGGTCCGTGATTTGTCACCTTCCCACGCGAAGCCCAAGATATAAGACGACACCAGCGCCGATTTTATCAGACTGCAAACTTCCCCGTGTAGTAGGTGTCATTGATGGCACTCACGTTCAAATTCAGGCCCCATCCGTGAATGAGAATGAATTCATTAACAGGCATCACTACCACAGTATTAATACACAGATAGTGATTGACAGCGGCGACGGATCATTGACATCGAGCTAACGCTGGCCTGGCTCAACACATGACTCCGCATCTTGACAACAAGCCGGTTATGTCGGATGTTTGAGGGGAACCAGTTACCCGTAAGTTGTCATCTGCTTGGCGACAGCGGCTACCCATGTCGGAGGTGGATTTTAACACCATTTTTTGCGCCCCTTCCTGGATCACAGACAAACTACAACAGGTATAATTGCTATTTCTTCTTCGTCAGCTTCGAAAGTACTAACCAATAGAGTGATTCCCTTGGTTATGTGAAATACAATCCAACATAAAACGAAATGGAAGACTTACATATGTTTGCTAAATGCATTATTCGGGCAACATGTCGTACAATCATAATGTCTACTTCTTTTGTTGTAAATGCATCTTGGGTGACTTATCAATGAAACAATACCTGTGGGCAAGTAAAGTGTATCATGATATCTCCATTTTGATTTCATGCCACCCATAAATATTATATGATCATCTAGTGATTCCAGTTGTATTTATTGCAAATTTTCAGATCACATAAAAAAACCAGAAACTGTGTGGAAAGAGGTATTGGACAACTAAAGCGGCGGTTCCATGTACTACATGGAGAAATCAGACTTTCCCCACAGAAGGCTTGCAAGGTATAGCATTATAAGAATGTTTTTCTGTGGACTCCATTGAAGTTAAAGTTAAATCATAATTTTAACACATATATGTCCCCCAATAATACCCTAAGGACCTAATATGCATTAGGTAGATAAAGAAACCAACACAATTATTAAGATAAACAATAACTTTTATTTAATGAATACATTAACAAATCTCAAACAAGAATGTACAAATGTCTTCACTTTTTTCAGTCTGTCCTAACATAAACAAGGTGAACAAGTCAGATATATGTGATCTTACTGTCAATAGCACCTCACTCAATATTGACGGATAATTATTGTAATCTAAAGTTCAACTGTAATAAAAATTAGTTATCTCAATAATCATATTTAAAAAGAATCATATTCAAGATGTTTAGACAATCAAATATGAGTATACTTATACTGTGATCCTAGGTTTATGAACCCTTAGAGAGGAACATTTTACGTGAAATGTTTTGTGAAATGAAAAAGATATATATTCAAATATCTCAATCGTTGCATTTTCTGTATAGCTACTAAATTAAAGCATGAAGATTGCCAGGATCAAATACTCTTAGTGTCAGATTAGTAAGGGTAGGGATTTTACCAAGAAATTATTAGATGTGAAATGCATTCATGGAAAGATATTGATGCTAGAAACATTGGTAATGACAAAATAACTTTTTTTTGGATGAAGGCCACATTAATTGCTGAATACCAGTGTTTAGGTATTCAACTAAAATCAGTTCCATGGGAGATTTTCTCACTAACATTTCATTATGCTATTATTTGACAAGAAATGAACATCAATTAAAATAGAGTATCAAAACTATCTTGGTCAAATACAATAAGTCCTCAACATCCTACTTTTTAATTAAATTGACAGAAATTTATTGACCATTTGTTGTGTCTTGACTATGTTTTTTTAATATTTCCCTAGGTAATAATTGCTTGTGCAGTGCTGCATAATATCAGCAAGGACAGGAATGTCCCAATGCCAGCTCCAAGTGGGAGCAGCGGTCAACCTGGACAGCTGAGGGCACAGATGCAAGGTCTGCCAGCCATTGCTCCTACAGCATCAGGAGCCAGATACAGGGAACAATTTGCGATCAGCTTCTTTTAATGTACGTATTTCCAAAGTCTATCATGAAAGTCATAGAAATGCATCGATTATTAATTTCATATTCCTAAATGCAAGACCTCTAAGGGACCGTTCATAATTTATGTCTCTAGGGGGGGGAAGAAATGATGATTGTCATGGAGAAGCATGTACAATGTGAATGACTCCCCTAAAATTTAAGTACAAAGTACTTGCCACCCCCCACCATTTCATGCACAAGGTCATTTACCCACTCACGTCTTTTAACATAAATTAATTAATATTCACTATTTACCAAATTTCTGACCCCCTTAGCACATCTGAGCAGTTACTGACCCCCACCCCCAAAGAACAAAATGGGTGACCACTCCTTAAAATCATCATCACACACAGACGCGCGCACACACACACACACACACACACACACACACACCATTAAATTTTGAAAGGTCCCTAATAATTACAATGTATATACCCTATACTGTCATTAGTGCCTGTACAATCTATTCTTCTAGTTTATTAATTCTTCTCTTAAGATACTCTCTTTTCAATTTCAAACATTCAATCTCTAATTCCAGTTTTTCTTTCTGTAATGCGTCCACAGAAGGCTGATGCTGGCACTGACAGGCTGTCTTCTCTGGCAGGTGGTAAACGTTCACCATGTCCTGGACCTCGTCACTGACCATGATTGGGCTACAACAAAATCATGATTTGTAAAATACATAAGAGAATGAAATACATGTTCATAATATTTCCATATCCCGAGCCTTGTGTTTTATGTTCAAACAGAGTCATGTCAGTCATTTCAAACCAAGTGACCCTGACAGGCAGATTGGGAAAGAATGTAAATTATAATTTCCCCCAAACTGTAGGACTTCATGTAATTCATGCAGGGCAAGATGAACTGATGAAGTACTAAGTGACAAATGTCGAGTGTTGTCTGCTTAACAACAGTGGAGGCCTGAGTAAGTTCAGTATTTTCAGATAGCTGAACCTTCTGTCATGGAATAATAATTCATATGAAAATTCCTTATTAATTATAACCACTACAAAGGATATATTAGGATTCAGATATTAGGAAAATATAATTATAGAATATTAGATTCATCATGTATCAGCTACAGAAAGACTCCAGTCAAAAGTAGTAAAACTCATCTCACAGACATACTATTGAAAAAAGTAAATGTTACGGCTGCATCATTTCACAGATGTTCAAGATGAATCCTAGCCTAAGGTATCAATGACTCAGCTGTTAGAGAAACCTGACAAAAAATATTGCAGTGGTTTTAGTGTTGTATAAAACGGATTAATATCAAAATGGATATGGCATGTACCTTTCTCTTGAAGTGATGGCATCAAGCAGTTGCAGGGCAGTGGAATCACACGAGTCTGAGATACCCGTAAGACTTACGTTGTCCCTCCCAATGGCCTCAACAACTGCATCTGTGACCGGACTGACCGGAGTTGGAGGTGGTCCGCCTCCTGTAAATGCAAAAAAAAGTAGATTAATTGCTTAAATATGATTATCTTAGGTCTGACCAATCTTATTTCTTGTTTCACAGATTTTTGTCCTCAGAAAACCAAAAGGCAGGAGGTAAAAAAATAAATCACCAGGCAAAGTAATATTCCTTCTAAATACTCAAAGTATTATACTTTTGGCAATCTTTTAAGTGTATATGGGGCAAAAGTCAACCTAAACAAATTTTCTTGTAAGTATATATTTGGCCAATAAAAACATTAGGATTTTAGTTTTTGAGCAGGGAAAATTAATTTTTGTTTCTTTTCTTATTCTTGAAAAAATATGACAGGCAGAGCTGTAAAAACAGAAATAAAATTGGTCTGGCCTTATGTAGAAATATATCACAAACCCAGGAGGTAAGTACTCACTTTACGATGAAACACTGGAATAGAGTAGGTTTTTGTTGTAACATGTTATATTTGGCATTACACTTTCTTAGTAAAGTACAGATTCTAGTACTTTTGTTGGCTGGAGTATCCGGGAATCGAGCCCATGCCCTCAGAGTCAGGCACTTAATCGCCAGCACACAAAGTAAGCCGCCTAACCCGCTCAGCTGGCGATAGGTGCCTGACTCTGTGGGCATGGGTTCAAGTCCCAGATGGGATTCCAGCCAACAGAAGTACTAGAATCTGTACTTCACTTTAATACTATGAAAGTGTAACATATGTTATATTTGACCACTTTCTTAATGGCATTGTTTAATTATAGGTTTATGTTGGTAGAAAATATTCAGTATATAGAAGAACTTACAATGTAGGTCTGGAAATATTGTGAGTGAAACTCTTTTTTCCACTTTCTGACATTATCACATCATTTATGTAACCTTTTATGACACTTATATTTTGATAACTAATAATAATACTGTAACCATAATCATGTTTACCAGTGGCAATGGTTTGCTGCCTGAACTTGGAATAGGTCTTCTTGGATGAACTCTTCAAGTTCTTCCATTTTTTTTCCACCTCATCCCTGGTCCTCTTGTGTGTGATGCTTGAATTTAGGGTGTCTGTAATCATCTACAATGTAAACAGAATACATCAAATGGGGAAAAATCCCATCAATTTACATTTAGTTATTTAATCAGTGCATAAAAACTTTACACGTGAACTAGTTATCAAGTACATTTGAGCGCTTATTTAGACAATAATATAAAGAAAAACGAGACGTGTACTGCAGTATTCATTTTCAAAATATTTAATTCTTTCCTAATATTGCCGTAATTTCAGTATGTCAGTAAAATGACGTATGTGGTTTTGCAATTTGTACCGAAAGTCTTAGGGGAATTAATACCCAACAAACTACAACAATTGACCACGACATGGGTATGTAAATGTGTGATTGTATCAGTCAGGTAATGTGAAACGAATCCATCGTCAGAACACCCACTAGACTATCGGAGCTTCGAACACGCATTCTGCCACGCCTCCTGTCGCTTCCACGGAGGTGATGCCAGGCCCAAACTTGCCCTCAAGCACCACTCTGTTGGTCGCGAACTAGCTCGCTTAGCAGCAGACACTCCTCTTTTTGTGAAATTAGGTCGCCTCTTCTTCATTTCATCCGCCATAGTATCTATTCGATGCTGTTCGTGTATCGTCTGCGCTGTCCGGGAATTTCCCCCGAGAATGTTTTTTTGTCTCTCAGTAAAAAGAGTTCCACTGGTAGGCTAAAAATAACCGGGATAGTCCCTAGTGATCACGTGATCGCGTTCGGTGAAATCGACTTAGTTTTTGTCGGCGGACTTAGCTAAGTTTCAGACTTAGCCCGTTTGTGAATACCAACTTAAGTTTTTGACTTGGCTAAGTCAGTTTTAAGAAACTTAAGTTTTTTCTTAAGTCAAAACTTAGTTGTTTGATAAATACGGCCCCAGGGCTTAATGGAAAAAAGCAATGAATTTACCCAACTCAAATCACCCGAAACCGATTTTTGAACTCCATCCAGGGCTCCAGATACGTGCTGTATTGGCGTATGTACGGATAAAAAATATGCACGATATGGTAGGAAATAATTTAGAAAACGTAGCAGATACGCAGCACAGCAATGGTGTATGGTCTTAGAATCGTTTACAGACGTATTTATCTGAAAAAGTATTGTATTAGTGTTTATTGACCTGTTTACACAAGAGTAGCAACGTTGTGGTGCATATATGAAACGAAACACAAGATTAGTGATACAACATTAAATTCCAGTCAGTATTCTAAATGTACTCTTAAGATTTTCCAGTACTCCTATATAGAAAAAATAAGGAGTACATACTCCTGATGTTGAAAACTTATCTGGAGCCCTGTCATCAAACTATTTATTGGTAGCACTCTCAGATCTCACAGCTTAACATGCATGGGTGTGGCAAGTTTGAATGAAACGGCACATGATAGGAAAACTTGTTTAGTATAACATAGTTCGTGGGAAGATAATACATGCATCTGTCAAAAAATGTCTATGTTCACACCTATTTTCACAAAAGCACACCTACATTATCTGTCTTAGGGCCTATGGAACCCTTAAAATTCCATTTCTGCCTCTGGTTAAATATCATATTTTAAACCAGTGATGAGATAATAGAAGTATTATGCCACTATTTGAAACACTCCATTGCTTATAGTGTATACTCAAATGGTCAGAGAAAACTCCCAAGAAAATACTGATGCGAGTCATCAAAACAGTAACAGTAACAACAATTTTCCCAAAATATTTAATCAGTAAGGGAAGGAAACATGTTTTACATCCTGTTCTTGATTACTATTCAGTTATATCAGTGTATGAAATAAGCCAAAACTCCAGCCAGACATCAGGGCTGGTGTACCTTCAAAATGTTACCAGCCCAAAATGGATTCAACCAGACCAAATATGGTGATTTTACTCAGATGTATGGAACATCCAAAACTTTAACAGACCATTGGGCTAGCTAGCAGTACATTTTGACCGTCCGTCAGAAATCTAGCCCGTCTCGGGCGGTCGGACAGGCCTTATTTCAAACACTGGTTATATCTTTTACACGCTGAATTTGACATAGTATCTCCACAATAAATGTGTATAGTAGCCTAAATCGTGTAGCCAATTGGCATGTAGGCACCAGCCATCATTGTGGTAAACCTTCTTACAAACAAACAGACACCAGATACCATATATATTGGTAAATGGTCTCTGCAAAAAAGCATGAATTTCTCAGGTGTTTTTTTAAAAAACAACAACCACTGAACAACTAAAATCTTGTGAGGAAAAATAACAGTTTTTAGACCAAATAACATGCTGCAGACAACTGTATAAAAAACATAATGCATGACATTGTACGCCCTTACTCCGATAGACTTTCAGAACATTGTAACAAATAGACCAGAAAATTACATTGTTCAATCAAACATAAAATTTTGAACATTACAAAGAAAAATAATTACATGTATTCACAAATGAATACAAACACAAAAAGAAGACAAAGTCATCATTATCCCCCGCAACGGCAAAACACTCTTTATGAATATGTCTACTAGTAATGATTGCGTCAAATGTTTTGGAGTGTACCCGGTATATAGTGGAGCACTAAAGGAGCACTACCACCAAATTCAGTTGAAGTCTAACTTGTTGCCATGGAAATGCAATAAGATGACATCCTCATAGTCACAGCCTAAGTCACGTTTCCACGGAAACCACAAAAAATAATTTTGCATCTGGCACCTCTATGGATCATGCTTGATCTGTGTAACATGTTTGATGAAGCTAGCATGTATAGTTTAGGAGATCTGCTTCAGGCAAGATGACATCCTCATAGTCACAGCCTAAGTCACGTTTCAATGGAAACCGCAAAATATAAAATTCATATCTGGGTCTAAACCCCAAAAGGCACATCTATGGATTATGCTTGACATATGTACCAAATTTGGTTAAGTTATCACAAAGAGTTTAAGAGATCTGCTTCGGACAAAGTGTGATGGACACACTTCGTTGTTGCAGGAGATAAAAAAAATACTAACATGAATGCAATATTCATTCACTAGTTCTACTTTCATAAGTTCCACTAATGTTTTTTTCTATTTTCGCAACTGCCTCCATTAATGAGTTTATTCAAACTGTTACAACCCTGTGGAATAAATGTGGTAGATTATTCTCCCTTTGATTATTAAGACAAAATTTCCATCACGATTTATGGATTTATGGGTTTCATTAATAACATACTGAACAACTAGCAACACAACAGTAATGTGCAAAACATAAATACAAAAACATTGTTGACAGAATTTGAAATGCAAGACTTTCCTAAGCATTAAACATAATTATGTGATATAATCCATGACAACTTGGGTTATGTTACGAAGAAATCAGGTAAAACAAAATGAAGACAAACAAGTAAATGATGATTAAAACATAATAATAATATAAGCACTGATACTTGGTGCTCAACAGTAAGGAATATACCACCATACGATGCTGACTTGTGGAAAGGACCAGGTGTATCTATTGTTGTCATCACAGTTAGAATTTACAGTGTGGCAAACATTTCCAGAAATAAAATATCTGCTCTTTTGTCTTGTACTTTACCTTCAGGTGAGCTAAGAGAAAACTGGTTGTTTGGATTGTTGTGTTGAAATGATTACACTGTATACTGATACCCAGATTCAGAGGCAATTGTTCACATCATTCTCTGGTTTTATTGCTTGTGAATTTACCTTTGTTTAGCTTTAGATTAAGGCTGTGTAACAACACTACTTGTTCTATCAAGCCTTGAAGAGTTGCCTCCCTTGGCACACTGCCAGCACCAGACTTGAACCAGTTAGATAGCAGCCATTTTGCCTACTTTCTCTTTGATAAACTGAAAGTGAAATTAAACAATAGTATTAAATTTAATATAAAAAAATATCAGCATTAACATTACACAAAAATGTCTTCTTTGAAACCTTCTTTATCAGTTTATAAGTTGTGTTATTAATGTAAACATTCAGAAATACTAAAACAAACACTATTCTTTTACATTACTGTCTGTATAACCAAGACGGGCTACGGGCTACATTTCTGACGGACGGTCTAAATTTACAGCTAGCCAGCCCGATGGTCTGGTAAATGATTTTAGATATTATACATACATCTGATTAAATTCACCATATCTTGGTGTCTGGTCTGGTTAAATCCAAGTTGGGCTGGTAACATTTTGAAGTTACCAGCCCTGATGTCTGGCTGTTTTTGGGGGGGCTTATTTCGATGAACCTTGTATGTAACTGTCGTAAAGACACTTTTTGCTAAATACAATATATTTTAGTGCATTTTTTGTCGGATTGCATAAAGTAGGCAAAACGTCCATATGATATTTAACGTGATATTACTACAAGAATATGTAATTATAAAAGAGCATTTCCATTTTCGGTTTGGAAAGTATGGGCTGAGAAATTACTTACTGAATGACCAGTTCTGCTTGTGAGCTCAAGGGACTGTTTGATTGAAAATTTACATTGTGACGCTTCCCAAAGTAAAACCTCATCACAATGCACATTTTAGTTTGACTAAACATCTGTCTAATGCTACCCACCTGAATATGTGCGATGACACCAGCCCAAGAAGGCGCCCGACTTGATTCCAAGTAGGACCTCTTCTCCTGTCACTTCGATTTTGCTGAAACGAAAATGAAAGTTGCCATTCGTCACATGCACAAATTCGACCAATCAACTATCCTAAAATACGGTATATAAATGGCTGCTTGGTTTTCCCCAGACATACAGTTATTCTCAAGAGCAGTTATTTCCCTTAGTATAAAGAATGTTTCCATTTATACTTTTTCTGTATGCAGTTCTGTAAACCTGTAAACAAGAATAAAACCCTTCATTTGGTCCATACATATATATATTTCATGTGCAATTTCAAAGATGGTATTTAGGACTGCTCCAATTGCTTGTTAGCTTATTTAGGTCATATATTCACTCGTGACAACGACGAATACCGGAGAGGGACGAAAGTCGGCGAATGAAAAGATCCACATTAATGTGACGATATATCGACAGTGTCAGTTATTAGACAAACAGAGCCACGTTTGTATTTTTACATGCATAAACAAATACACTATAAAATACACTAAAACATTGTCGTGAATCTCACACATGACCTCTTATCTTCAACCGAAAGATTAGGCATTCAAGCAGAGCTTATACTTCCTTGTTGATATCATGATTTTTCTTTCATCCTTCCACCATTACCGAACAAATCGTCTGCTCCTTAGGGACCGTTCATAATTTATGGCTGGGGTAGGGGTCGGGCGGGGGGGGTTATATATGATGATTTTCAAGGAGAAACATGTACAATGTGAATGACACCTTAACACCCCCCCCCCTAAAAGTTATGTACAAATAAAGTACGTAACTCCGCCCTGCATGTCATGTACAAAGGCAATGCCCCCCCACTCCCTTCCCATGTTTTTAAGCATAATTTTTAAAAATAATAATACGTACAAAATTGCTGCCCCCTACCCCCTAGTACACGTGTACAATAATGATGACCCCCTCGCCTCCCCAGAACCAAATGGGTGACACACACACCCCCTCCCCGCCCTTATAATTCATTCTCTTTTCTTTCTCTCTCTTTCTCTCTGAATGTCACTGTCGGTTTTACGTACCGTGATCTTGTTTTTCCTCTTTTTTTTCTTCACAAAAAACTCTTTTCACCGTTCCCGTTTTAAGACCATCCTCGTGTTAGTCCCCAAATACACCTTTAGCTCCATAAATCTATTTACAAGTGAACGCGTTCGATGCTTTTCACCTTGTTTGGAAGACACCGCAGGGCCAGCCGGGCAGACGAGCAGACGACGCACTAGGGGAGGTAACTCCAATTTCTTAACATCCGTGCGCGAATGTATGTATTCCATTTACTTGCAAATAAATCCAGTTTATAATGTGGTGATGTTGTATATATAGCAAAAGGTTATGTTACGGCAATTAAGATATCATAACGCATAAAATGGTCTGATGTCTGGATCATTCATGGTAAATATACTGTTACCGGCTCCCCACTTAGTTTAGTATTACGCCGCTTTTAGCACTATTCCAGCAACATCACGGCAGGGGACACCAGAAATGGGCTTCACACATTGTACCCATTTGGGGAATCGAACCCGGGTCTTCAACATGACGAGCGGACGCTATAACCACTAGACTACCGCTCCGTCCCTTGATAAGGAGGACTCTTATGCTCGATATTATAAGTCCAGGTTTTCATTTTAACAAATGACACATGAAGACAATGGGAAAAAATGGTATTTAACAACCCATGATTGTCGCAAGAGGTGACTAACACGGTCGTGTGGTCAGTATCCTGACTTTGGTACATGTCATCGTATTCCAATTGGGTGGGTCGATCGGATGCACGTGATGTCAGTCACTGGATTGTCTAGTCCAGGCCCTATTATTTACAGACCGCCATTATATATCTGCAACACACAGGTGCTAAAACTTCGGTTTAGTCTACTCCAACGCACCCTTTCCGATGAACACTCTTAGCACTGCGACCTCCGTAAGTTTCGCTTCGCCACGATCGCTTTGTGGAACGGGCCCCACACTACTAATATGCTGCTGTGATACATATACTGAGGGAAACAAATAAGGTAACCTTTGAAAGCAAACTGTTCATTTATCCTTTTCCAGGTTTCTTCACAATATTTGTATTGTACTGTGGGTGAAACTCTGAGAATAGCCCAGATAAAGGAACACTGCGATGAAGCGTTGTTCCCTTATTTGTTTTCCTCAGTATACGATACTATTGCTGAAAACACCATTGAATGGAATTCTCCAACCCTGTTGAATGTGAATTCTCTAAATTTTCTGTAAGACCGCACACAATGTGTTATATCTGAACAGACATGCTAGATCAATATTTCGATAGCTCTGTTCCGATTCGTTATGGCGTGACTGCGTATTGCTGGGGTAAATGCCGCTGCTATTGCATTGCTATATATGTTTACTTACGAAGCAACAGTCGCCTTAGGGAACGTATTACGTAAGCGCTATCAATACAAAACGAAAGGAAAAGTTGGTGGGTGACTGCAGTGTTATAATGTACTGCAGAGTGGTGTGTATCTTCATACGGCTTTTGTGTCACCTACCCAACATATGTATCCCGTGAAGGTCCGGGTTAGAACTGGTCTTCAGTAACCTATGCTTGTCGTAAGAGGCGACTAACGGGATCGGGTGGTCAGGCTGCGTAGATCGATGCTCATGCTGTTGATGACTAGACTGTTTGGTCCAGACACGATTATTTACAGGCCGCCGCCATATAGCAGGGATATTGCTGAGTGCGGCGTAAAACTAAACTCACTTACACTCACCCCAACATACATGTATACCATACAACCACCTGTCCCCCCATACTAACGGGATCGGGTGGTCAGGCTCGCTGGCTTGGTTGACACGTCATCGCTTCCCAATTGCGCAGATCGATGCTCATGGTGTTGATCACTGGATTGTCAGGTCCAGATTCGATTATTTACAGACCGCCGCCATATAGCTGGAATAATGCTGAGTGCGGCGTAAAACTCAACTCACTCACTTACCTGTCCCCCATAGTGTTACTTATACGTACATAATGACCCCATGATGTGGATTGATAAAGTGTTTATCAAATAAATCAGTCTGAGGTTGAAGAATAAACTCATAACCATCCATGTAATCACAGTTTTGGCAGCATGTGTTGTGTGCATGGTAAGCTCGTACATTTAGATATGGCATTGCAAACAGTGTCAGGGTCAAAGTGACGTAGGCTGCAATGGCGATTTAAGTGATAATGATTTGTGGTAAAGATACAGTTTTGGGTTTTTTGTTTGGTTTTGTTTTACCTTTTTAACGCCACACTTAGCATTAATCGATTTATATGACGGCGGTCTGTAAATACATGAGCCGGGACAAGGCAATCCAGTGTATGACATCATGAACATTAACTTAAACAGCTGGGATACGATGACAAGCTGATCCCGTTAGTCTCCTCTTACGACATGCACTGCCGCCTCCTACTAAAATATTGTTTACCGAAGGCTAATTCTAACCCGGATCCTTACCGGTGACAGTATTTAGATATACTCATGCCAATAATGGTTGTCACCCCCCACCCCACCCAAACCCCCACCCTCTCCAATAAATATAATTGAAGGGGGTGACAACCATGTTTGGCATGAGTATATTATAAAATCCACAAGACACAAATGGAAAATATGAGACGTAAATAAGATACAATCTGATTAGCTGTTTGTGTCAATTGTTGTTTGGCTTAAATTAAATACAGTCTGATTATGTTTGTGTCAATTGTTGTTTGGCTAAAATGATATACAGTCTGATTATCTGTTTGTGTCAATTGTTGTCTGGCTTAGATTAAACACAATCTGATTATCTGTTTGTGTCAATTGTTGTTTGGCTTAAATTATATACAGTCTGATTATCTGTTTGTGTCACTTGCTGTGTGGCATATGTTTAATACAATCTGATTATCTGTTAGTGCCAACTGTTATAGGGCGTTAATATGAAGACTCCAATATATACTCTTGATAAGGCTGTTTACTCCTTTGCCTATGATGTAAGTACCTTCCTTGAAAATCCTTGTCATTTTTGAGGAAGTCGAGGGTCATGATTCTGATCATGTGAGTCTATAAATATGCATTCAACTAATGAATGTGACAGATATATAGCATTGAACTATTTGTTCAGTTAACCAGGTTGTACAATGAGAAACTTAAGTGTATTCGTGTATAGGAGAAGTGCACCATGAATAGTTACAATCACATCGTGATCCAGTAATTTAAACATTTTCTATTCTTGTTTGAGGCAAACTATGCCTTCCTTTCACTTTTCATTCAGTAATTCAAACAATCGATTCCTGTTAAAGGTGAACCATGCCGTACTTTCACTTTTCATTCATTACAAAGTTCAGCACAACAGATAGCTGAGACGTCATGACCCAAGCTTCACACAGACCCAGCCTGAACACCTGCGATAGGTTCAGTTTATTAATAGCGACAACTCACATCTACCCTTATCACAAGAGCGGCGGCCATTGAACAAGGACGGTAAGTTTGATACGGTTTACTTGTGATGTGTGTTTATTGTTACATGTTATATGTCATTAGGCATAGTACATAGGAAGATTGTTGAAACATATGATACATTTTTATGACTGTCAGATTTCACATATCGAAAGCATGATACTCCATGAATAGTTCACCTATTCAGAGGTGGATAGTTGTGTCGTGGTGTAAACACTGCTGTTGTTTCGCTTGGTTGTGTTGGAAAACACTACTGAATATGCATGTATACACCCAGTCTATCACCAGCGTCATGTATACATGCTGCCACCTTCCTCCGATCCACTAAAGGGAACAGGACATATTTAAGACGTTCCTACGCATCCTCTATGCATCCTTAACACATAAATCATTAACGAATGCTCCAAACACCTTTACATGATGTTTACCCCATCACATGCTACAAGCCCCTTCACATGATATATACCCAATCATATACTCCCAACGCCATCATATACATACATACATACATACATACATACAAATACTTGTATAGCGCAAATATCTGTAAAGCGCTCAAAGGCGCTTTGGCTCTAAGATGGTATTGATATATATGATGTTTACCCCATCACATGCTCCCAACACCATCATATGATCCTAACTTCATCACATGATCCCAACACCATCATATTATGATCTTAACCCCACCACAAGCTCCCAACACCATCATATGATCTTAAACTCATCACATGCTTCCAACACCCCAATATGATCTTAACATCACCACATGCTCCCAACACCATCATATGATTTAAACTCATCACATGCTTCCAACACCATCATATGATCTTAACCCCATCACATGCTCCCAACACCATCATATGATCTAAACCTCATCACATTCTCCCAGCACCATCACATGATCTTAACCCCATCACATGCTCCCAACACCATCATATGATCTTAACATCTTCACATGTTCCCAACACCATCATATGATCTTAAACCCACCACATGCTCCCAACACCATCATGTGATCTTAACCTCATCACATGCTCCCAGCACCATCACATGATCTTAACCTCATCACATGCTTCCAACACCATCATATGATCTTAACCCCATCACATGCTCCCAACACCATCATATGATCTTAACATCTTCACATGCTCCCAACACCATCGTATGATCTTAACCTCATCACATGCTTCCAACACCATCATATGATCTTAACCCCATCACATGCTCCCAACACCATCATATGATCTTAACATCTTCACATGCTCCCAACACCATCATATGATCTTAACCTCATCACATGCTTCCAACACCATCATATGATCTTAACCTCATCACATGCTCCCAACACCACCATATGATCTTAACCCCATCACCTGCTTCCAACACCATCATATGATCTTAACCCCATCACATGCTCCCAACACCATCATATGATCTTAACATCATCACATGCTCCCAACACCATCGCATGATCTTAACCCCATCACCTGCTCCCAACACCATCATATGATCTAAACCTTTTCACATGCTCCCAACACCATCACATGATCTTAACCCCATCACCTGCTCCCAACACCATCATATGATCTTAACCCCATCACATGCTCCCAACACCATCACATGATCTTAACCCCATCACCTGCTCCCAACACCATCACATGATCTTAAACCCATCACCTGCTCCCAACACCATCATATGATCTTAACCCCATCACATGCTCCCAACACCATCACATGATCTTAACCCCATCACCTGCTCCCAACACCATCACATGATCTTAAACCCATCACCTGCTCCCAACACCATCATATGATCTTAACCCCATCACATGCTCCCAACACCATCATATGATAAGATCATTTCAAAGGTTAACACTTTTGTTGATAAAGGCGGGATACTGTAATGAAGACACTTCCTTATTCTGATGAGATGACCGCCGCCATACAGCTGGAATATTGCTGAGTGCGGCGTAAAACTAAACTCACGCACTCACTCGGATGCGATGCGACGCTTCGGTATTGATCCTTATACCGTTGACAACAAGATCGATGTCATCCATAATGTATCATGCCTTTATTGTGATCAGGCTTTGCAATCATGTGTTTGTAGCCACGTGTGAGTGGGTATGGTTTTACGGGTATTCATTTTGACACAGTAATTACTGATTCAAAAACATGTTCCTTTTACACAGTGATTCATTAATCAATTTTCACAATTGTTGAGCAAGATAAGATTTGTAAACAGATGTTAGCAGAGTGAGTGAGTATGGGTTTACGCCAAATTTTGCAATATTACGGCAATATCACAGCGGGGGACACGATAAATGGGCATCACACATGGTGCCTATGTGGGGAATCGAACCCGGGTATTCAGCGTGGTCGACGAGCGAACGCTTTTGTGTATATGAAAAAACCTGGTTATATGGCTGTGGTATTGCCGATGCGACTTTAGATTTTAATTTACTTGATTCACTGTCTTTATAAGTGAATAATTCAAATGTACAATCTCGTTTTACTTGTGAACCGTTACATATCACGCCTTTCCACGGTGTAACATCCAGGAGAGAAAGACAAAATAATCAATATAATCACACGCAATACTTGTCATGCACACAGGTAAAATCGTTGTTGTAACGGAAATAAGAAAACAAAATCAAAATATGAAATTGTTTGTTGTTGCAAGTTGAATTCACAACACAGTGCTGTGTAATCAGACACGCAGACACTGTTGAGTCCCGTATAAAAACCCTGTATCAAACCGCCTTTCACAGCAGACAGTATTCCTCGAGAATTGGCCTTATCGTGACTCAGGTCACCTGTATTGCATGTCACAATGTAGGGCGTTATGCAGCGCCCTTTGCTGATCCAGGTTTAGATATTACTCGTCATGACTGCTCTTGAGATATGCGTGTAGATGCTGGGTAGATTTGCCGCGCGCTTGATTGACGATGGAGTTATCTCCCTTAGACGAATGTCCGTCTCTTTTGCCATGGTTTAAGTCCTTTTAATACCATGTTTGTTTCGAGAATGGTGAATTAAAAATAGTTAAAAATAGTATGACTTCCACAATTAGCGTTTTTCTTTTCTTTTCTTTTGACCTTCTCCGACAGTGTTATTCACAGTTATTACGGATGAAAAGGACATTTTTAGTGTTTAGGGCTACCCATTTATGACCTTAGATTCACCACATGGCTGTGTACAATGCTTGAAGTCCATTCTGGTGTCCCCCGCCGTGATATTGCTGGAACATTGCTACAAGCGGCGTAAAACCCAACTCACTCACTCACTCACTCTTCCATGTAGAGTTATAAACTATCATTTCATCAACTAAATTGTCTCTTTTCAGAATACGATGGCACTTCAAAGGCGCTACAGTCAAAGGAATGGCGGATTGGAGACGTATCATTTCCAACCGGAAGGTGAGTGTTGAGACATCAGATACAGCTTATTAATTATCAGTTAACGATGCCTCAGTCAATACCGGTTTATTTGGTCTAATAAATAGAATATGTTCCATAATTGCGGTCAGTAACTGTTTATTTGCATAACACAGAAAGCAACATTGTAAATTCAACAATCATTGAATCAGACGACAAATCTTCTTTACAGTCGCGCTGTTGGAGGTGGCGTAGCCTACTGGTTAAAGCGTTCGCTCATCATGGGTTCGATTTCCCACATGGGTATAATGTGTGAAGCCCATTTCTGGTGTCGCCCGTCTTGATAATGCTGGAATCTTGCTGAAAGCGACGTAAAATCATACTTACTCACTCACTGCAATCGCGTTGATAGGCTGAACATTCTTCGTTGCAGGTCTCAGAGCAATACTGTAATATAAGAAGGTCAAATGACCATTGCTCATCCAATTAGCATACAATATAATGTATAAATGTAAAACATATCTGACCAGAAGGAAGATGGAGACTTCAGGCACTGCATCATACTTTCATATACACATCTCAGTAAGCTTATAGTGGCGTCGTATGGACAATATCGTAGACATATAGCGGCTCTTTCGTGATAGACAAATACTACAGTGAGTATATTTGAGTCATAATCATCATTTGTGAAGAAGGTGTTAGGTCATGACTTAGCTGCATCTTTATTTCATGCTGCCTAATGAGTGAGTGAGTATAATTTTACGCTACTTTTAGCAATGGTCCAGCAATATCACGGCGGGAGATACCAAAAATGAGCTTCACACATTGTGCCCATGTGGGGAATCGAACCCGGGTCTTCGAAATGACGAGCGGGTGCTTTAACCATTAAGCTACCCCATCGCCCCTTGATAAGGTCTATTATATTCTGGTAGACATCAGTGCAGTTGGTCGTTTTGTTAGCAGATTTTAAAGTCCAGGTTCTCGTTTTAACGACAAGAAAACGCTTTAACCACAAGCCACCCCGCCGCCCCTGATGTCTAATGAGAGTGGGCTTTACACACACGTGCTTGTTCTGTTGTAGATACAAAGAAGTGCACCTTAAGAATAATCTTTGAATCACTCGGGATACAGTTCGGTGATGAGACCAGCCAGCTGGAGTTACAGGTATGGCAATGGCGTCACATCAAAGCTGATACAGGTGTCTTGTCGGAGCTGGATGGGAAGTTAAAGGTGAATAATACAGAACGAATCACAACCATCAACGCTGATGAAATCAAAGCAATCTGCACAGGGAATGTTTACAGGTCTCCTTCTCTAAGGTCATTTGGGGTGAGATCCATACAAAAAATATTTCAGGACACTGCATCGTGTCTGTGTTTAATCCAACGTCCAGTACAAGAGAACAGGAGACATAACCTATACAAAAAAATATGTGATTCATCAATATTCGTGTCAGGGAAAGCAACATGTTTTGTGACACGCACTGGCATTGCTGTGGTCACAAGCAAGTCTAATGAGAAGATGGTGACTGAAGCCACCCACAAACTGCTTACTGGAGGGTCGTATTCCTCAACCTCATCCATCTCTGTGGACGACTCAAGCATGGAAGATACATTTACAAAGTTACAACACAGAAGAAGCGTCCAATTGGAGGGACATATTGTTCCCTTTCTCAGAGACAACATCCAAGCACGTAATCATCTCATTCTGAAAAGCAAACTTCAAGGTATCACCTGTACATTTACCCCAGAAGAAAACAAGCTCCTTCTATTGGCCGGGACAAAAGGGCATCTTGATATGTTTAATGACATATATCTTAAGTGTATTAAACAAATCACATGGGATCTTAAAGACAGTAATATTTTGAAAGTTCTTACAAATGCTGAAGTAGTGACCGAATGTAATGAGTACTGCCAGTTAAGATTTCCCGGCAAGGCCATGTTCTTCTCTGATGAAGCAAACCAATGTATATCAATCATTGCCACTGATGATGCTTTGCCTCAAGCTGAATCCCATCTGAAAGAACAGATGTCCAAATATGAAAATGGTGCAATCAAACTTGACGACAGATCATTTAAACAGGTCAAGCAGCATTGGGAGAGCATAAAGCAGATTGGAGCGCGGTTGGCATCAGGAAAAATCAACATTTCACAAAGTACAGACAAACAGGCAATTACTGTTATTGGAACAAGGGATGCAATACGAGACTTCAACACCCAACTTGATGAGTATTTGTCCTCCCCCTGAACTATGTTTCTTGCAGTTGCGATTTCAAGGAAAGAAGCAAAAGCTGCTACAGTCTCGACCAAGAGCTAAAGAGTATGTTGAAATGAGCGTGGCAAAAAGCGATCACGTCGACTTTGAACTTGATACTCAGGCAAATGAATTTGTTTTAGTCGCCCCAGGAGAGCATAGGGAGATAGCACGGGAATTCTTATCACTGGTCAAGACAAGGGACATCCGAGTGCGCAGAAACAGTGTCATAGGGAAGAGCCTCTTTGATTTGAAACAGGACCTCTTGAACCGCACGTTACCATGCCACGAGAAAATGTTAGTAGAAATTGACATTTCCACAGGTACCTTTTCAATAACTGCAACAAAGGATGTATTTGACGAAGCAGTGAAACAATTCGAGAATGTGTATAAAGATAGTACAGGCAGAGTGAGAGAGAGTCATGTGAAGGACCACAATCCCCAATGTCTCCTCCCGTCACGCCGGTCCCTTTCCAAATGGTCAGTCAAAGGAACTGGAAAGACCTGACAGTAAAAAAATATATGCAAAATCTGTTGCAATCGTGCCCGGAAGCGAGGACGCATATTTTAAACAAGATGATGTCAGATGGTGTCCAGGTGAAGGCTACAGCGGATGGTGCAGTGCAATACATGGACGCCACTGGAATAGATGACCAGAGGGTTGAAAATATCCTCAAGAACTGTATCGAGAAGAAGGATATTGACTTTGAAATATATCCAGTGGGTGGTTATTTGAGACCATCCGAAGCAAGAACAATAATGAAACGTTTGTTGCAGAATCTGTCAAGCAAAATGCTCATCGAAGCAGATGATTCACAGAAGGTGCTGACTGTTTCCAGTACAAAAGACATTGCAGCTGAAGTCCTTAAAGGGATAAAACGTTTTCTGCAAGATTACACTTACTCGGAAGAAACTATTTTGTTGACGAAGGAAGAAACAAGAACATTTTGGATGCAGAATGCAGAACTGCGTGACGTTGAGAAGTCACTTTCAGAGGAAAAAGTAAAAGTTTCACTAAAGAGTTCCCAGCTAATGATAACTGGTGCCAAGGTTGGTGTCGACAAGTGCAAGAAGAAAATTGCTGACATGCGAAGTTCGCAGAATAATGCACATGGAATCCCACCTGAAACAGAGCAGATGGACGCATCACAGTCCTGTTTTCTCTCCAGTCAGATGACCAAAGTTCTTCAGGATATACCTCACTGTAGACACTTTGTGAATCGTGTGTTCACACATGCAGCGTGTTCAACACGGGTCACAGATGACGGGTCCCGTCTCACACGTACGTACCCAACGGAGCACCACAGGGGTGCCTGCACCTTCAAATGGGAAATTCAAGAAAACACTAAAGGCGCCTCTCCCCAGCCGAATAACGACCATGGGTCCAACACTGGTGAAGAACACGATGGCAAAGAAGGAGCCAGTCTTAGCTGACAGAGTTTTGATCTACGAGGACGAGTCGACCTTGAAGCTGTTGATTGTTGGAGATGCTACGGATGTTGAACAATGTTATAGGATAATATTGACAATATGAAATCAGGATACAGTTTACAAGCTCGATGTTGTGCTTGAACGGTGCATTTATCCTCTTTGACTACTTGCTTGCTGTTATCATATGATACAATGTTGAACTCGCAATGACTGTCCTATTGATGAAATATTCCAGCTATATAGTGGCCATCTGAAAATAATAAAGTGTCAACTAGGTCAGCGAGTCTGACCACCCAATCCAGTTAGTCGCCTCTTACGACACGCATGGGTTATTGAAGACCAATTGTGACCCGGATCTTCAAGGGTCTGAGAAGGGTTAAGGGTGGTAGAGGGTTGGTTAAAGGGGAGTAGGGTGTATGTATCATGATAATTATGATATGGACCCGTGTCTAATCAGAAAGCATTTTAGAAACCCCGATTGTTGTTCTTGACAAGTCCATTTATGCACAGTGTACGTTTGTCCCACTCGGTGACGATAAATCTCTGTACATTAAATTGCAACATGCTTTGATAAGTAAGTGTTCATAAGCTTGTTCCTTGTTTTGGTAAATGTGTGCATGCATGTCCTGTTGTTTGGTACTCATAATGGTTGTAAATATATTTATTGTTGTTTAAAATACACGTTGGTTGGCTTTTTAGCGTTGTAAATAGTAGTTTAAGCCATATGCCATTTTCTTGTGCTATAGAATGTCTTCAAGTACTTGAGCTATTATATTAGTACAGAAATGGCCTTTCCTGGTAGTTATTTTATTTTCCCGTTCAGGAGGGTCTTTGCAAGTACTTGTGATATTAATATTAATATTAATTTCAGAGAAAGACAATGACAAATAGGACATGCTATTGTCCATGATTAAACAGCTATAAAAGAGAAAGATCAATTCAGTGCAATAAATTGCTTGGTCACACCGCAAGAATATCGTTCTATTTGTTGGCATTTGTAACTTGTTTAAAGTTGTGTTTTAAACATTATTTTAAATGGTGCACATTGAATGAGTATGGTTCGACCTAAAGACCAAGCTCATGACCCTTAGCGTATGACCAGATGGTTGTTCTTATTTACTGGGAGTACCTATGTCGAATGACAGGGAGATTGCTAGTGTGAGATTGAATACACACTCGTACATTTAACTAGGCGAGACAACGTGCGCTTGAGTTAGTGACTGAGTTTAGTTTTACTACCGCTTTTAGCAAATTAATGTACCAGCAATATCACGGCGTGGGACACTAGACAGGGACACAGGGACGGATACAGCTTTTTGAGAAAGGTGGGGCGCACACTATTGAGAAAAGGATGGGTGCACACTGCATATTCACCCGAGTTTCAATGGTCATTTAATACACTTTCAGGGCAAAAAGGGGGGGTGGGGGTGGTTGCGCTCCTCCCCTCCCCCCTCCCCACCCACACACTGGATCCGCCTATGCTAGAAATGGGCTTCACACATTGTATGGGGAATAGAACCCGAGTTTCGTGTGACGAGCGAAGACATTATCCACATGGCTATTCCGCCGTCCTCGCTTGAGAAGTCCCTATTGAAGCAGAACTTAAATATTCAATAGAAGCGTATATCGGTCCATACTTCAAACTGAATACAATCTACAGACAAGCTTAAATATGTAACATGATATGTTTTCATGGAGGTTAAGGACAGGGGTAGCTATGAGTACAGAACAAAGATCCTAATATCCTAGAAGCGTCTTTGTAAAGGAAACTTGATTCGGGACTGAAGCATTTCAAAGATAAAAATACATCAATAAATTGTATTTTACTGAAACATAAGTGCTGAAAGCTGATGAGAAGATACTATGGGTGTATATTGACGTATATCCATGCCACTGAGCATCTCGATGGTGGATATTAGGCGCTTTATAAATAGATTATTACTATTAAATTATGATCATTATTATATATTCTTATTGTCTGGGCACCGATTACAGACATTTTTGACAGAAACAAAATCTCCTTGGCTCTATTGTTCCCTCTATTGTTCCATGCTTGATGTTCTGTTTGGAATTGTGTTTGCTGGTTAAATTCAACTCCGTAAGTAGTCTTTGAAAACCAATTGAAATTAATCCCGTTTATGATCCTTTGTCAGTACATAAAGGTTCGTGGGTTTCAGAGAAGTTATAAACGTCTGAACAATTGCAAGCACGTCACATTGCACGTAAACGTCCAGTGACACATGGGGATTAAAGGAATTCCTCATGCAGGAAGTTGCGTATTGAGTGAGTGAGTGAGTTTAGTTGTACGCCACACTCGGCAATATTCCAGCTATATGGCGGTGGTCTGTAAATAAGTCTTGACCAGACAATCCAGTGATCAACAGCATGAACATCGATCTGCGCCATTGGGAACCGATGACATGTGTCAACCAAGCCAGCGAGCCTGACCACCCGATCCCGTTAGTCGCCTCTCACGACAAGCAGGGGTTACTGAAGACAATATTCTAACCCGGACCTTCACGGGTTAAGTTGTGTATTGAAATATTGTGGTATATAGTAGCACATTTGCTGAAGTTCCACTCAGCTGAATGTTTACACGGCTGATATTAGGACATTGGTTGTGTGAAACACCGATAAACCTTTTGTAGTGTTAAATCCGCGGTGTATAGAAATTGATACACTGCACGACTGACGAGCTTTATGCGTGTATACAAATGTGCATGACATGCCCTGGAATGTTATCAAAGTAGCACATGAATACGATCTGTTGAGGAGACGCAGGAGGCGGTGGGGGCTACGGTCGTCGGAACAGAAACGTTCTGTATTTCAGTTCAGGCCGTGAACGGCTGATTATACATATATGTTTTTAAACCTTTTACATTTTCATCAAGTACATATGTACATGTAATGATTAAAATCAAGAGCATGCAGTTATCTACATGCTTACACAATTATTATGCACATATTAATGTTGTTGTGGTGCGTTTCCCTCATGAGCACAGGTCACAAATCTATTGAAGTTAAGCCACGCTAGTCGCGCAGACTCCTTCGATGGGTAACCTCCTGAGAGTTTGTGGGACTCTATTCCTGACCCACAACAAAGCACATGTAACGCATGTGGCCACGCCTTAGGCAAGTGACTTTCAAAATTACTTCTATCCACCCAGCAGTGTATGGGTACCCGGTGGATGGTCGCACGACTGTTAACCTTTTAGCGCCTAACATGCAGCATGGGTTGTAGTGCATATTGATCCATTGACTGGGGGTAATAATGTCTGGACATATATATGGCAAATGACTATCATTATACACAAACTGAGGTATTTTTTAAGATACCTATTTTTGAGATAAAAACAATGTGAAGACGAAAATGAAAGGGCAACTTCTGTAGAAAATGGAGAATCAAATGTGGCTGATGCAGAAGGGGCACTTCAAATAATTGTTACGTGTCAATTTCAAAATTGAAACAAAAAGTTAACAAAGAGTAAGTTTCCTAGCTTGCATGTACATAACACTTGACTAATGCTTATTGATAAAGCGGGACCATGAGTGTCTCTACATACATGGTCAATCCTCTACTATTTTTCAAGCCTTCAGTTACGTCATTTACCTGTACAAGTAGTGGTTGGTGTTATGAGAAACGTTAAACGCCATTTGGATATAGTGGCATGCCATACACAAAGTCACCGAGCCTGACGTTAAGTTAGTGTGTGAGGGGGTGTGTGAGTATGGTTTTACACTCATTTAAGCTAATATTCCAGGCATATGAATGCGGGGGACACCAGAAATGGGCTGCACATTTTGTACCCATGTGGGGTGTCGAACCCTGGTCTTCAGCGTCACGAGCGGACGCGTAAACCACTAGGCTAACCCATCCTTGACGTTAAGTCATCTCATAGGACATACATAAGCTGCATGAAGAGATAGCACAGTCGTGTCAGCCACCAAATCTACCCAACAACCCAAACTACTCAATAATAACATGAAATAAAACATGGAGTACATCTTGCTTTATTATCAAACATACAGCGTTGAACAAGGGTTTAAACAATTGCTTTCATATTGCTACATCTATCGCATTTTTGCTTTCAATAGGCTTCATATTTGTAATTATAAGTTGATACTTCTTTAGCACTTAGTGTTAAAAACGATTGTTTTCATAAGCATGATATGGCACAGATTTGTAGTGTGATAATTTAGTCCTTGGCCACATTGAAGTGAACATTATTTTGGATACGGTCATGAGGGGAGACAACAAATTCCGAACTATCTGACCTCTTGTACTCCTCCTGCTAGCTGATGATAACAAGGCATGCTAGCAATTTAACCGTGTGAACTGTCAAAACTTTGAATACCTACCATAGTTTAAAAAAATGGTATTGTACACTATTTTAAGGATGAACAACACAACTTTGTGCGGTATTGTACACTATTGTTCACTGGATTACACCACAATGTACAATATTGTACACTGGACAACACCACAATGTATGGTACCCTACACTATTTTTCACTGGATAACACAATGTACAATATTGTGCACTGGACAACACCACAATGTATGGTATCCTACACTATTTTTCACTGGATAACACAATGTACAATATTGTGCACTGGACAACACCACAATGTATGGTATCCTACACTATTTTTCACTGGATAACACAATGTACAATATTGTACACTATTGTACACTGGACAACACCACAGTGTATGGTATCGTACACTATTGTTCACTGGATAACACAATGTACAATATTGTACACTGGACAACACCACAATGTATGGTATCCTACACTATTGTTCACTGGATAACACAATGTACAATATTGTACACTATTGTACACTGGACAACACCACAGTGTATGGTATCGTACACTATTGTTCACTGGATAACACAATGTACAATATTGTACACTGGACAACACCACAATGTATGGTATCCTACACTATTGTTCACTGGATAACACAATGTACAATATTGTACACTGGACAATAAACTGTGTACTGTAATGTACACTATTGTAAACAACAAACTGTACGGTGTTGTACACTTCTGTATTTTGAATCATATTTGTCTAACCACAGGCAATCAGACAAGAACATATTGGTACACATTTGCAACAATTCTCCGTCAACACAAACATGGTGTAAACATGACGTCTGAAGCAAGACGATGGGTTCCCCGGGGTATGCCTTTTGCTTTGTTCAGTTTCTTGTTGACACGTGCTGGTTGATTGACTATAGTCCCAGAATTGCAATACATATACACCTAAACGAAGGAATATAGATGCGTGTACTATATATCCGAAAAAAATCTGTAATATCGTTTACTCAGCAAGCAAAGAATATTTCATGGAAAAAATAATTTGGTTTGAAACATTTAAGAATTGAAGAGAGTGCCTTCGCATAAAACAAAACTGCCGATGGGTATCCCAGACAACCTTTCTGAAAAAAACCAGCAACCTTTTTTCTTCACAAATTTACATTTCAATCATTGTAAGTTCATATTTACCCCCGTATTCTCTGAACAACATATTTTTATACAATCATAACTACCCAACACACAGTTTCCCTTTAACAAACTGCGGCCGGAGTGAGTGAGTGAGTATGGTTTTACGCCGCGTTTAGCAATATTCCAGCAATATCACGGCAGGGGACACCAGAAATGGGCTTCACACATTGTACCCATGTGGGGAATCGAAAACGCTTTAACCACTAGGCTACCCCACCGCCCGCGGTCGGAGTGAGTGATGGTTAAATAGACATAGTGTCATTCACATTTGACTTAACAAGTGTCATTCATTTTTCAATTAAGACATAAAATAATAATGCTCGTTATACTTTCTTCTGCTCGCCAGTTTAGAGTGGTAGCATATTGTTTCACACGGAAACTATTCATTATCAGGAATAAATGTAAATGCAACATAATATTGTTACATTTCTGCAATACTGAAATAAAATCACGTTGACAAGGACTTGTCGCACGAGTTTGAAAGCCACACTTTTTCTCCTCTGTGTCTTGGAGAGATAACTCTCAATTGAACTTAATGTAACTGTGAGAAGGTATATCTTTGGTAAGCTCCATCTTAAATTCCTCGGCAGCATTCCGGTTGGTGTCATCAGAGTCGGAAGTGATGGTGTATTGAAACTGGTCAATCGTCACAACTCTCGTTGAGAGACGGCTAACCTGGGACTGGTGGGCCTTTTCTGCATAGGTTCCCTTCCATAGGTCATCTGGGGAGAATCATAAATGTTTTGGAATAATTCAGTCCTGTGCACAGAGTGAGTGAATGAGTGAGTGAGTTTAGTTTTATGCCGCACTCAGCAATGTCCAAGCTATATGGCGGCGGTCTGTAAATAATCGAGTCTGGGCCAGACAATCCAGTGATCAACAACATGAGCATCGATCTGCGCAATATTGGGAACCGATGACATGTGTCAACCAAGTCAGCGAGCCTGTCCACCCGATCCCGTTAGTCGCCTCTTATGACAAGCATGGGTTACTGAACTATGATGTCCACTTCATAAATACTCAAAATACATCAAGGTTTCACTATTGTATGTGTAGCGATGATTGATGTCATACTATAGTTTTGGGGTGGGACAATTTGCAGGAGAATGGTTGTAAACATATTAGGGCAAAAAGAGATTCGAGGCTTTTGTGGACTTGTGTCTTATCTACCTGTGGTGTGGTAGGGTGGCCTAGATATTTCTCAGGTAGCCACTGTTCCACGAGGGGTTGATCTCCCTCTAATCCTTTAGATCTGGTTCAGAATTGGTCTTCAGCAACCCATGCTTGTTGTAAGAGGCGACTAAGCTAATGGGGTTGGGTTTTAAGGCTCGCTGACTTGGTTGATTAACGTTGATGCTCACGATGTTGATCACTGGATTTTCTGGTCCAGATTCGATAATTTACAGACCGCTGCCATATAGCTGGGATATTGCTGAGTGCAGCGTTAAACAACAAACAAACCACGCCATGTCTGGTATACCAATAAACCAAAGCTATACCATGAACATTACATATTTCATTAAAAAGAATTCAAAATGTTCTGAAGATATCCATACCTGCAACTGGCGACCTGTCGATGTCTGCACGAACTTGTAACTCGCCCTTGCATAGCTCTGCTAGTTTGGTGGCAAATTGTGAAAATGTGTGGATATCAGGAATGATGACTGTCACAACGTGAACACAGTCGCTTGCCTTCTTCACTCCGGCGTGAACCAATCGAGCAGCAGCATTTGGTTTTTTCCCCATCATGGCTAGAATCATGCATACAAACCAAACACGTTAGATGAACGACAATACCAGGGCTATGCAATGAATATCGACTCTCACATTCAGTTCTAAAAATGTTTCTTACTTTTCCCTAGAAGCATGCATGCATCCATACAGGTTAGATGGAAAAATACCAGCGCTATCCAATGAATATCGACTCTCACATTCAGTTCTAAATATCTTTCTTACTTTGGCCAAGAAGCATGCATGTATCAATACAGGTTAGATGAAAAAATACCAACGCTATCCAATGAAGCATGCATACACACAAAACAAGATAGAAGAATGTCAATACTAGTGCTATGCAATGTGCACTGACACTTCTCACATTTTCTTATGGAGCAGGCGTTGAAGTCATGAACGAAACTGAATTATTCGATCGGATACAGAATAAAATGATTTTGTGGATGTAGCCATCCTTACCTGAAGGAACGATTGGTATGGTGACGGTGTTGCACTTCAGTTTGTCAGTAGCGCTCCTTATCCCCTGTGCAATAGCCTCACTAGCCACGTCTACTTGGTTCCCCCGTATGTATGAGTGTACCAGCGTCATAGTTGTAAGACTGGTGCTGTCCAGGGCACACATGGTCTCGTTAAGCTCAGACACTGTATATATATAGAACGTATTAAAATGCATACACTATAACATGTATCATTTATTTATTATAATACAGTTGTAATTACTTCAATTTAATTTAGAGCAAGTAGAAACACAAAATAACAAAATATACTGATGAGACAGAGAAATATAACAACTGTCGCAATATAGTTTATACTCATGTTGTGGTAACTCCATTAGGACATATATTCTATTATTTCGTAAGAAATGAATGAATATATGAATGTATGGGTTGGTTGGTGGATGAACGGATGCTCGATGGATAAATGAATGAAAGGAACGAACAAACGAACTAATGAATGAATGAATACTCGACATTTTCTTCATCAATCAACAGAGTATGGAAACACTTTGCATCACCAACCATAAGCGTCTCCTTGCCATTCCATCGCGTGTGGAAACAGGCTCATAAGACTGGGATTGTCTTTAGGATCTGGAATACAGGGCATACACAGGTCCAGCATTCTATACCGATTGTGTACCTCGAAATAGGCATCATGTTGTACTTTACAGAAGATACCCTCTTCAACATTTTCTATGATTTATATGTTTGGAATGGCAATTACGTTTGTTTTGCCACGTCACATACAACAGTATTCCATAATAACACAGTGCCCTGAACACAGTAGAGCCGGTACTAGACAAACCAATCAGTGATAATAAAGGGAGCACTTTCTTCCTTCCATGGTTAAAAGGTTTGGTTTCGATCCATACAAATAATGTGCACAAAACGAATATGGTTGTCTTGTTGCACTGCTGTAGATGATGGTTCTACATTGATGATGTGTATCGATGAACATATAAATGTCTGGCATCACCATGTTGCTCCCGTTTGCAGTATACTAACTAGACAGTGACTGTGAGCAAAACGCGGCGTTAATTACGGTTAAACGAAAGCATCTTTTCCTGAACACCAAAGTGTCAAATAACAAATATTGATGTTCATATAAGATAACAAACACGAAAACAACAAATTGTACCTCGTGCATTACTATGTACTTTGTCATTGTGAATCACTACCTGCAAGTCGTGGAAATGTATTCACCGATATGTATTGAAACATGTATTTTAATAATTCAGAATAAATTTATTTTCAATAAACTTTATATGGAGCTCAAACACTTTCATAAATCCGTGTAGTCGCAAAATATACATTACATAGATAACACTCTTGAATCAATGTACTTACTCTCAATTTCCTTATCATTCCATGTAACAAGGACTACCTCGGCGACGTCTCTGGCATCATGAACGTTGGCATTCACAACCTGCAATAGTGTGTTACCCACGTGGACTCGAACCTCACACTTCCGCTTGTGATCCTTTTTCATCTCTATTCATAGAAATGAGAGACACAGTTTACCCTCAGAAAATATAATATGTATATCTACAAAAACTAGAAGTAAATGAAAATATCAGGTTTAAAGTAAGTCTCTACAACCAAGAGACACATAACATGAATCAATAGCACTATCTACTCTGTATTCTGTACATGTCCGGGGCATTGCATGTGTAATCATGTAAAACGATATATCTATCATTTCTTACTTATAGATTACCTAGTTAAGGTATTTGATTGAATTATTGATATTGTTATCTAACGACATTGTTTATTGTATTTAACGATAGTGTTCACATCTTCATCGAACACGATTTCGAACCTTCGTGAAACTCTTGTATGCTTGTGAGATGCTTTGTCGACAACTTGTATGTATGGCGGTGAGCTAGAAACAGCTGAAACACAACATGATCAATTTCATATAATCAAATATATATATGTTATATGTAAACGTACTTTTTTTCGCTCGGTGCAAATTTCGCGGAATTGACAGTTTAGACTACATCGCGCGGTCAATTATTCGCGCAATCAGTAATTGCCGGAACTGCCAGCTGTCTCTTAGGCCTTAGAAAGCACCTACCCCCAAGACACATGGACTTCCAGATCCAAATGATTGCAAAGATGACAGACACTGAGGCCGAGTCGTAATCGCGAATAAATAAAATACCCCTATTTTACCCCATTCCATGTGCGTACAACTTACCACGTTCATGCTAGGTTATATTTCTTTGGGTTAAACAATAGTACTCCGTATTATATTTACTGATGACTGCGTCAGAATTCATCCCGTTATATTATTGTGCATGTTTAAACTTGCTCGCCGGGAAACGTGTGCACAGCTGATTGCTATCAAGATTCGGGTTAGAATTGATCTTCAGTAACCCGTACTAACGGGATCGGAGGGGTCAGGCTCGCTGACTTGGTTGACACATGTCATCGTATCCCAATTGCGTAGATCGATGCTCATGCTGTTGATCACTGGATTGTCTGGTCAAGACCGCCGCCAAATAGCTGGGATATAAACTCACTCACTATCACATTGCGCCATTTTTGTCTTATGTATTTGACGTTTACAGCCTTACATATATACGGTGCTGACCAACCATCAAGCAGATGATTCGACTGGGATCCGAACCCATGATCTTAGTTCTATGCTTGGGAACCTTCACTTTAAAAGAGAGAGCCAACCGTGCCTACCCAAGTACAATAAAAGTGCCCATTACCTGTTTGACTGAGAGCTTAGTCTCTGGATAGATCACGATAATGATCTCACTAATGGACCCAGTTCCTTTGTCCTCGTTGAAGAGTCTTATAGCTTTATACATCAGCTGGACGACGTGTTGGACTGGGTAATTCAGGAGTCCGGTTCCAAGAGCAGGGAAGGCAATGGAGGTATGCCGCTGCTCGGATGCCTTAATGAGACAGTTGAATACCAGGGATACCATCCACTGCATGAATAGAACACATGTGTTTGAACCACGCTCTGGATCAAATGAATAATGTTGCAAAACTAAAGAGGTGTGTTTGACCCACCCTCTCGAAAAAACCCAAAATGAATAATGATGCAAAAATAAAAAAATGATGTGTTTGAACCATCCTCTGGATCAAATGAATAATGAAGCAAAAATTCACTGAAACAGATTGACTGAGTTATGTACCAGTGTACCAAGAAAGAGGTAATGGCGGATGTGTTCCTGCAAACTGTATTTCGTTGAGGATCTTAAATCTGAACAAGTATATCTATTGATGATGATGATGATGATGATGATGGTGATAGTCAGGATAATATTTTACAAGAAAATAAGCGTATGCAATAGGTATACGTCATGATCAGGGATTCGTTCTCTGCATATGTATTTAATAGTTCCATGTACAGTTTTATATATTCACAAACAACAGCAATTACTTTTCTGCAACAGAATCCGTTTTGTATATTTCATTTTACATGTCTAATTTCACTGCATCACATGTAACCTCTGGTTGCACTCTCCGGAATTATCCAGAAATACCTATCGGTTTTAAATGACTAACTCAGTTAGTGAATTTGGGTTTACTACGCTTGATCGATATCACAGGAAAATTAAAACTGACTGAAAAGGGCTTCACACAGTGTATGCCTGTGGAGATCTGAACCCAGGCCTTTGATGTGAAGAGAAAGCTTTAACCGGCTGTCCCCGCCGTCCCAGCAGTTCTTCAGCTTCTGATAATGTCAATGCCAACGGCATAAAAATGCTGTCACAAAGGCGTTGTCAACAAGAACAAAAATGCTATTTACCTTAAAACACTCTTCTTCTTTCTGCTCATAGTCTGGACAGTCTTTCGGTGGGAAGGGAGGCAGGGCGCCATGATAAATAGCCTTACAGGATGTGATGTTGCCGGGCCCCAGACTGGAGCCACTTCGCCATGCTGTATGCCGTTAGGGTAATCTCGCTTCAGCTCATCAGTGATGGTGCTTCCTGCTGCCTTAGAAATACACATTGACACTCCAGGCCCTGTGTCTAGGTGCAACTCTGTGTTCGTGGTGTTGACAATAACATCAGCCTGAAAGTTGTGAACATAGTGTATATAATATAGAAATACCATAGTCCCAGGCACAGCTTGGTATTTAAATCTGGTGAAACATAATATGATTAATGTATCTATATATTGGAATAATATCATCATTATTCAAACATTCCTTGAGATATAACATTCTATGGAATAAGGAAGAATTACTCGACTGTCAGAATATTGGGAAAAATCATACCAATGTCATCGTTCCAGGCATACTTTTGGTATTTAAGTCAGGGTTAAACATAAGTATGATTAATGTATCTATATATTGTATTAATATCATCATTATTCAAACATTCCTTGAAATACAACATTCTATGGAATAAGGAAGAATTACTCCACTGTCAGAATATTTGGAAAAATCATACCAATGTCATCGTTCCAGGCATACTTTGGTATTTAAGTCGGGTTAAACATAAGTATGATTAATGTATCTATATATTGTAATAATATCATCATTATTCAAACATTCCTTGAAATACAACTGTTCTATGGAATAAGAAAGCATTACTCCACTGTTTCACCTATGACTGAATTGAAAGAAACACATGAATGAGTACCTGTTGCTTTTTCGAGAGCATTCATAACGACGCTAACCTTCCTTGCCTTTTTGTTCTGAAAAGAAAATACTTGGAAAGATTATTCAAATTTTTCAGATGTTTCTTTTGTCAGACGTGTAACTTACTTTGGGTTTGTATTAGTTAAAAGCATGTAACACGTGCTATATTCTACAGATTCTAATACTATTTTGGGTTGAGTCCTATCGGTGTAACTCCACATAGTAACGTGTTACATTTGACCACTTTCTAAATGGCATTGTGTATTCATAGTTATAACAGACAGACAGACGCAATATTTAGTGAATGTTTTCTGCAGTACTCGCAGATGGTTTGCCATACCTGATATACTTAGACTAAGAGTGAATCAGCGTCCGTGATGGGATAGACTGCATGTGCCCGAAATGTTCCTGGGCAGATATGATACATTTATACTTTTCACCTACACGTTTCGAGACATTCCCGACCATAAGAATGCCTATGTCAGGGCCTAGAGTTATGGTGAAGCTAGTGACACGCTCAACTTCACCTTTAATGATGCCCACAGCTTCGTCAGTCTCCTTCGGAGGTCCTCTAACCCTTATTTCACTTCTGTGTTTTATCAAGCGTAAAACCAGTGAGACGTTTCGTCAGCTCATCAAACTGGGCCCATTTATACTGGGAAGATAGTTCATTGCAGTCCTGTGACATTGGAATGCATTCTTCTTTATTTTCAGTCGCGGCTGATTCTGTAGATCCTGCCTCCTGTCCTGCCTGGCCCGTTGTAAGCATTGATTCAAACGTCGTATGATGCCAGGTGGTCCAACAACTTTCACCGTCGTGCCATATTTGACAGTAAGGACATGTCCGTCTCCCCTCTCTTGACCCGGCTTCTTCAGCAGGCGTTTCCATGCGCAATCGTCCATGTTATTGATTTCATCTGAGGAATATCCGTTTCCGATATACTCTCTTTGATAATCTGAAGAAGCATATTTTCTGTCTTCCTTCCGTGAGTGATGGTGACCGTGGATTTATCAAAATGAAACTCGCAGCTTAGATTTTTATCCTTAAAGCCCGTTTGATGTTTTGTTGTGTTGTAGTTTTGTCTTGTAGATAGTGTATCTGGGGCTGGAGAGAGCGGGATAGGTAGTAGGTGTGCTAGCTTCAAGTGGAGGGTTTTCTGGAACACAATACATGTTATTGCACAATATGAAGCGGGTATTCAACGATATACCACACTGACCACCTGGCCCGAAAATATATATCAACCATATCAGCCAAGGACCGAATATCGATCATATCAGCCGTATTGGCGGGTACTAAACTGGTACAGGAATGAATACACACAGACGCTCAAAACTTAATATACGTCCTAGTTTATTTAAGTTCAAGTCAAAACAGCTAAGATACAGCGTTCACTAACATGAACGCTGTTGATGTTAGTGGCTATGTATCTTCGCTAGATCAATACAGTGATTAAACAACAGTCTCGTTTACTGCTGACTGGGTCCTATTGAGCAACAGGTATAATAACCAGTCCAGAATTTTGAGACCAACCCATTCAACAGGATATGTAAATATTAATCAGTATTGTATTTGGTACTATCTAATCATTTGTATATTGCAACACTACGCTCCCTCTAATCCTTGCAAACACGTCGAATTACGCAGCGTGCTCTGTCGTACAGCGTGCTCTGACAAGGAAGAAATCTGGAAAACGTGGAAATCTCAAAACAAGAGTTCTGGTCGCTTCAAAATGTTTGGCGATCTGGTACGGACTTGATATTAAATCACATTGTACGTTACAAAAATACACTGAATGAGCGCAAGAACACATAACAGGTGAATTTTTGAGATCATTTTACGACCTTATCAAACAGATGCGGTCCTGTGACGTCTGGGTTAAGGTCATGCTACTTTCAACCTCACCGCCAAAATATGAAATACGAACTTTAAATTAAACTTCATTTGTCAGTACCATTTTTGTAATGAAACAAGAATTGGAATTTCGATGTAACCATAGTTGTTTGTAGTGTCTCTTTTCACTTTCACGTGAAAAATTTGGATCGGATGAAACAAGGTCATTGTCTGACTCATGTTTCGGTTTGCCCTTGGTGAGGTATATATAATACAAAGGTTATGATATCACGGTTCCCTTTCGAAGGTCATAACAGCCCTCGACTTCTACCATAAGACTGGCGAAAGAAAACTGTAATAACCTCTAAATATCGTGCACACACACGCGCACCACACTCAATAAAACTGTCTAACAGGATCGAGTGAGTCAGACTCTCTGACATGCATGTCATCGTGTCAAAACTGCCACCGTGGATCGGTGCTGTGATGTCACTCATTGGTTTTATTGAGTGTGTGCTATGTACTGATATGTTAGAAGATTGTCAGTTTCTTTTCGCCAATCTTAGTCGAAAAGAGCTATTATGACTTCGAAAACTATTCTTGTGCCTGAAGCATGAAAGTCGAACAATGTTTACTGATCCATTATTGAATGAAAGACACCTAATATGAACACACGAAATTATTCTGTTCATACTTGGCTGAAATGGTTATTTATAATTGTGCCCGAACGTCACGAACTACGTCTGACTGATAAAGATAAATAATGTTCGAAGCTATTCATTCGGTGTATTTTTATACGGCATTACAATGTGATTCCGTACTATTGGCCAGTATTCTGTTTTAGTTTCCACGTTTCTTCTTCTTGTCGAAGCGCTACGGTAAAGCACGCTACTGTGTTTGAAATCCGCAATATACAAGCGTTAGATAATAATACTTTGATTAATGTTACATATCCTGTTAATTCAGGTTATTCTGGTTATTGATATACTAAGGACTCAATAAGAGACGATCGGCTGTGCTTTGTTCACTATTAATTGACTTAGCGAATACGCCTTTCACTAACGTCGGCAACGTGTTCAGTGAGCGCGACGAACAAACTTAGGACTCAGTAAGTTTTGAGGGCGTCTGTGTATGAATATTCGTACAATTACCCATATTCCGGCGATATGTGTTCGTCGCTGAGCTGATATAACGATATATTTTCAGACTAACCCATATCGTTAATACTGTTCGTATTGATGTAATAACGCTGTATTGTGTTCCGAAACCCTCGCTGAAAGCGCACTATTCCGCTATGCTCCAGCCCGAATACACCAGCACAGACAAACACAACGCAACAAATCAACGAACAGGACAATCTAGCTGCGGTTCATTTGATCGTCGCGATCTTTCCTTCTACGCGAGGAAAGAAGACAGAAAACCTTAATATTTCGAATTATCGAAGGCGAATATCTCCTCGAGATGAATCAGCTGGCATCGGACGATTGCCGTAAACTGCTGAAAAGAAGAGATTGAGAGACGGTATCACTTGCTGTCCGTATGTTTTACGACATTATTGGGCCGGACACCTGGCTCGACGTTTGAATCCTTCAACACGAGCCAGGCGGCTTATTGCTATCGACTTTAATAAAGAGAATGCGTTCAATGGAACCGTAAACTATCTTCCCGGTATCATGGACTTCGATTTGATATGAGCTGGCAACGTACCCGATAGGCTGCAGAAACCGAAATGAAGTCGAAAGGAACTGACGGGCATCGTCAAAGGTGGTTGAGCATGATAACTTCACCGCTAACTCTGAGCCTGTTTTATAACATTGCTGCAGTCATGTGAGTATAGTATTGTCATATCTTGCCGGGCACGCATGCAGTCATCACCCGGAACATCTGAATTCACTCGATCTGTATATCGGTATCGAAACACTGCCAGAAAACATTCTTAAATATGTCGCAATTACAACTATGGATACCTGCCGACGAAGATGATCGAAGTAACCGGCTTGCGTTACATGTGAGTTACCGGATAAAATATTGCAGAATCGCGAAATTGCTGGCACGTGTTACATGTTCAATGACGAAACGCGTCGCGATAGTATCTGCGAAAATTTGTCTTTCGAACTGGCACAGAACGAAAGAGCAGCATCGTTATGAATAATATCGGTATAACAAATTCGGTCATGGTGATGGTAATAACTTCTTATTCCGTAAAGTGTTGTTTGAGGGTAATGATGATATTACGGCATATAATGCATTAATCATAACATGTTTTAACCCGACTTAATACCGAAAGTAATAACATAGTTTTGACGACGATATGTTTTCGAAATACGACGTGATGAACTAACGGTGGATGATGGTTCGATCATCACCATA